AGAAAAACGACAGCAGGAAATGAGATCGCCTGCAGTAAAAAACCTTGTTCCCAGTAGTTCTTCAGATAAGCCTCACGCGCTGTTGGGCGCCCTTTTCCCTGTGGGCTTTCTGTATGGGGACGAGCTTAGCCTCGCTTCGGATTCTTTTGCTGAGAGTCAGGAACAAACTTCTTGCTGAAATTCAGTAGTTGAGGAGGAGCAGCGGGTCGGCAAACGGTCCCTGAGAACAGCTCATCAGTCTCCCAGCAATGCAGCCCTGTCTGCCGCTGGTGCCGCGCATGCTGGTGGAGCGGGGTGGCTGCAGTGCTGCCTCTCGTCCTGAGCGCTCGCTGCCTGGGCAGAGCATCCAGCTCCGGGGAGAGAGGGGCTTTCTGGCTCCCTCGTGAGGAGGCTGGGCTTGGCCCTCTGGTAATGGGGCTTCCTCAAGGTCCTGTGAAGAAGCCTATTTCCTTCCAGCTTTTGAAAGAGGCCCGTACCCCTTCACCAGCCGTCCACCAAAAGGAAACTCATCTGAAGAGAGCCTGCCAGCACGAGCGGGGGCGCAGGCAGGGGATGGGACGTGCCTCTTTCCCCTGGGCACCGTCCTCACTCGCAGAGCGGCGTGCGAGAGCGTCCAGCTCCTGCCAGTGAGTTCGCGTCCTGTTTGGCGGTTGTGTTATTTCCATGGGGACACGTGGCACAAGTGCTTCTGTGGTTTGTTTTGGGGCTATCCAGAGAGGCTTCCTTTCCTTTCTGTACTCCTCCCCTGTGGCCTCCCTTTTCAGGGACAGTTCTCATGAGACGATTCTGGAAGACAAAGTCCTTTTGCAGTGGGAACTGTAGAGGTGTCATGTCGTCTGGGCATGCGCCATTCTAGGCAGGAAGCCTCACAGTGTCCGTCTGCATTTCAAGCAAAGAGAGGGAGGGTTAGCCTCCAACCCTGGCCCTAAAGTCCTTCATGCAGTCCTAGTGAAAAGCAATGGAGATGCTTTTGAAGGCCAGTATGAAAACACCTGGAAGCCAAGAGCAGCAACGCAAAAGACTTGCGGAGCAAAAGCAAAGCATTTCTCTTTGGAGTGATTAGAAGTGAGTTGCTGAATGTGTCCTCGCCTTTGTTACTCTCGAAGAAATTTGGACTGCGATACGGAGTTCAAAGGAAGAATCCTCATCCATTAGTGATTCATTCAAGAAATCTGCTTTTTAATACCTTCAGTAAAAGAAGTAGTCCCAGAAGGCTTAATTAGCTATCCTACAAATGCATAATCCTTCTTTCTTTGGTTAGAACTTCCTTTTTCATCAAGCTGGTGTTTCTTTGCTTGTGGGACTGCTTCCCGTGAGACCTGTTCTCCCTCTTTGCGGATTCCGGTGGGTTCCACGCATGTGCTGTGGTGCACGAATCAGGCCTTGTCTTCTGCATCTCAAACGACTAGTTTTTCTGGCTACGCTGAAGAAGCAATCCAGGCAACCGATCTAGTGCTACTGCTGGTGCTGACGGACTGCCACCGCTGAGCTCTGCAGGACAGGGTTGAGAGCTGCTGGAACCTGGTTTTCATGTGTTCAGAGAAGACAGGCTTGAAGGCAGCCGTGTGACGGTGATTAGAGCTGCCACGTCCTAACTCAGAGAGAAAGATGTGGCCACCAGCAATCCCACCACCTCTGGGCTGCTGGTCTTCCAACGCCCAGCTGGAGCACCACCAGAAGTGGAAAGTGAAGCATTTCTTTTTCCTTCTTAAGCTCCCCGGTTACATTGACTTGATGTTGCCTAAAGCAGAAGCGGACAACACCATAGTGCTCATGAAACCTGGCAAAGCTGAAGTCCTCGATAGCAGCATCCTAAAACTAGCAGGGCTTGGCCTCAGCCTGGCTGCAGCTGGCTGGTGCACGTCTCTGTCAGTGTGTATTCCTCTGGCAAAATGCATGATATGCCAACACGAACCTGCAATGAAGAAGAGCAGTGATCCAGGAAAAAACCCTCTAAGCAGGTGTTGTCGCTGTGCATAATGTACGAGTCCTTGGAAGGGATACTGTGCTGAGGTGCCACTTCTGAATGATCACATCCAGAAAAGCTTACCTGGCTTCGGAGCAGAGCGAAGTGCCTGTGACCAAAGAACTGGACTGATGGCCCGTAATGAAGTCATCTTCCAGAGCTGGACAGGACATCAGAGACTGGTGGGCTGTCTGCAGACAACGCGTGGTTGGCAGAACGGCGCTGCTGAAGGCGTTGAGAGCCAACAGTATATTGCCAGCAGTGCATTGCACCGACCAAGCCAGTGCTCTGCAGAGGGGAACAGACCTACAGATGACATCTGCTGACCAGCCGTGCCCAGAAAGGTCTGCCGTGGCACCACTATCTCGTCGTTGCAAGGACATGCCAGCCGTGAAAGCTTGGGCACACAGCTGATTTCTCATGTGTGGCTCCAGCCATCCCATTCCCGGGAGGAGGAATAGCCAACTTCCCAGGCCCTGTAAGCCACCAAACAAAAAAGAAACTGTGCCGAGAGCCAGGGAGGCCTTGCAGCGCAGCCTGCCACGAGATGTGGGTCTCAGCACTGCTGGCAAGGCCCGTGCTGCCAGCCAGCCATCGGGAATCCACCCCTTCGGCGAGGAGTGCGCTTGCACAGGGCTGCCGCAGGTCTCGGTACCCTCCACCTTAAATCTATCTTCTCCTTTACCAGACTCTGACAGCAATTTCGCCCTCTGTCCCCCCTTGGGCAGGTTAAACAAGCCTTCGGCGCACCAGCTGCTGGGTCTGCAGCCATTCCTGTTCGCATTTACCTTTCTTGAACATGAGTGACCAGAACTGTGCTCAGAATTTCAGATGAGAGCGTAGCGGTGTCTCCTGTGGTGACATGCAGGCATCCTTATGTCTGTGAGAAATACACGCCTTAGATCTTGCGGTGTTTCTTTTGCCTTTCCATGGCCGTGCTACGTTGGTGCCTCCCAGTCACCCCCTCCGGGCTCTGTCAGTAGACCCAGAACTTTCTCTTCTCCTTCATCACTTCCAGTAGAGAGCAGAGATCCTGTGCCAGCCCTCTGAGCAGGGCGCCGGGTTTTGTACTGTCACTTTTCGTTCTGTTTCTTGTACCGCAGCCCTCAAGGTCGTTTGGCTCTTTCTCTTCTGTATTGACGGAGCTTCCCCAAATGTGATTCATCGTCATGCTTCTTTATAACTCTCTTGCTTTCTGTGCCAAGGTGGCAGGAAAATAAGAAGAGGAGGAAGTGTGCCTAAGCCCACAGACCTTCATATTCGTGTTCAGCTAATCTTCTCAGAGCCATCCCTGCAAAAACAGGTTTCCAGAGTGTCCGTCTGTTCCAGGAGGGACCTGGGATGGGAGGGCAGAGCTTGGCGGGAGGCAGGGAAGCAGAAGCACTGAGCTGCACGCAGGGCACATGCAGGCAGCCCGCGGGACTGCTGGTTTGTTAACCAGCGTCACATCCAGGCACCAGGGAGCTGCAGTTCTGTTGCATTTTATCGGTTAGTTTGGAGGACAAGCAGACTGACATTGCTTGACCCAAATGAGTCGTCATGGACTGTTTAGCGAAGAGGTAACCAACCCAGCCCCGCATGGGCTGTTTAGCGAAGAGGTAACCAGCCCAGCCCCGAAGCAGCGGACCCTTCCTCCCCACTCGCGCTCGGTCGGGGCTGCAGCACTTCTGCTGCGGGAGCATCCAGGCCCCTGAGCTGCCGCAGGACACGGGCCTCTCTTGAGAGCCCTCCTCAGAGCTGAGGCCACGCCAGACTCAATCCAAGGCTGCCACAGAGCAGTGACCAGAGCCCTGGGGTGGGTTCAGGGTGCTGTGTTCGCTTTCATTGCCAGGACAGAGAGGCCGTGCGGGAGCCCCAGGTCCCTCCTGCTCAGAGCCCCGTCCCCAGCCGCAGTCAGCAGTGGGTGCTTATGGAAGGAGACCCCACGGCAGGGCGTGAACAGAGACAGGCCCAGCAGCGTGCCTTCCCGAGGCCTCCCAGGCAGAGGCACTCCCTCAGCTCATTGCCCTCGAAGGCCTCATCCTCCGTGATCTTGCCCTGTCAGGTTTTAGATCCATTTCTTTTTGCATACCCAGAGTAACTTGTTACGGCAGGGGAGGCAGTAAAGGCAAGAGGCGCGGGCAGAAGGAAGGCATGCTTGCAGCCTGGCTTGTCCCCCATCAGAGGCTCTTGCAGTGGCGAGCGGGTAGAGCTGAGTGCTGCAGGAGGGGCTGCCCCCTGCCCAGCTCCACGGCCTGTGCCCACCACGACGCAGGGTGCAGGCAGGGAGGGGACATGGCACGGTGCAAGGGGAAGACCAGTCCAGACGCCCCTGGGCTGCCTCAGCCCACACTAACGAGCTGACCGCCGTCAGGTGACGATCAGACCCTGCTGCCTCCATCCTTGGGGTGGCATGACGGTCCTCCCGTCCCCACACCGCTCTCTGGGGAGGTGCCCGAAGGTTTCCTCTTGTCCCGGGAAGGGGCTCTGCCCCGACTGGCCGGTGTGTTCGGGAGCGCTGGTTTGCTCCGAGCCCGTGGCGGGACCCAAGAGCATGCCGACGGTAGTGTGGTCAGCCAGGGGAGACGGGGGGGCCCCGGTGGGAGTGGGGCCGGTGGGCTTTGGTGCAGCTCTGCCGCAGCTTCTCGATGACTAGCCGAGGCAGGGCGAGGTGCAGGGTCTTCAGCTGCAGCAAGTCTTTGTGTGCACCCAGCGGGCTGCAGGGCCACGTTCCTCCCTGGTAGGTCTCGATGGGCTTCAGAGCCGTGGCAGCTAGTGCAGGTTTGGCCAGGAACTGGAGATACTGGAGATACTTGCTCGAACCTCTTCTACCTCCTCTGGAAGAGCCCTGGCAGGGCTTGCAAGAAAGTCTTGGCTGATGTGCTCCGAGCCATGTCCCCCGAGCGCTTCAGAGCCCCCTCCCGTCTCAGGCTGGCCCAGCCCTCCAGCGGCCCCCGTGTATATTGTGTGTGTGCTCCTGTGTCTGGGGACCTCCGCCTCACCCCTGCCCTCTGCTCTCTCTCCTCTCTCTCTCGCTGTACCGTTCTTTCTGCAGACTTTTCAGTAGTTTAGGAGAACTCAGCACCATTTCCCAGCGGAGCTCCGGGACCACCTACACAGTCCGACCTGGCAGTCGCTACCCTGTAACCCGACGTACCCCCAGCCCCGTGAAGCCGGCTCTGGATCGGACAGAGCCCCTCAGCACCGTCCGGCCCTACGGTCTGACCCCTCCCACCATCCTCAAATCTTCCAGCCTCTCCATCCCACATGAGCCCAAGGAGGTGCGCTTTGTGGTGAGGAGCGTGAGCGCCCGGAGCCGCTCCCCGTCCCCGTCCCCCTCTCCAGGGCCACCCCTGCACACCCTCCACCCGCCTCGGCCCTTCATGCAGAAACCCCTCCACCTGTGGAACAAGTACGACGTCGGGGACTGGCTGGAAAGCATCAATTTGGTGGAGCACCGAGACAAGTTTGAGGACCATGAAATAGAGGGCACGCACCTGCCCGCCCTCACCAAGGAGGACTTTGTGGAGTTGGGGGTGACCCGGGTCGGGCACCGGATGAACATTGAGCGGGCACTCAAGCAGCTGGTAGACAGCTGACCATCCCAGGCAGCGCTGGCCTCTTCCAGAGCCACCACGGGGGGGGGGGGGGGGGGGGGCTTGT